TTCCAAAAACATATAAGTTAACGGAATTAACGGGGTGGGACATCCGGGTAAACTCTGCAAGCATTGCAATGACAATTAATGCAATTCACATCATAAGAAAAGAACACAAAAATCAACTTTTTGTATTTCGTACAATCGTCATAAACTTTGGATAAAGCAATCTGTTTGATCGGTCGATTGCTTGAACCATGGAAATGAAAAATCAGAGATCAGTACCTTTGACAATTCTATGATGAATAAATGACGTGGGAATGAATAAATTACAGAATCACATCCGGCAATAACCGGGACCGGTTATGGGTTCCACTTTCCATCCTCGTCTAAATAAAAAGAAATACACAAAGAATGCCAATCAAAAATAAGTATACTTACGATATGAATGACTGAATTTCGTAATGAGCCATACATCATTTCTTGTAGTAGTGCATTTTTATGGAATTTATTATCCCCGCTGGGTCTATCACACCGGTGTAAAATTAAAACAAAGCAGATTTGCGATCAAATGGGCGAGTAAACTGAGTTTCATCCAGGAGACAACGGAACAAAACGCGTCGTCAATAGTGCCTTAAACCGGCAAATACATTTCAGTACTCCAATGGTTTTTTATCCAACCCAGAAGCTTAGGGTTGCATGTTGTGAGGCAGGATGCAAAAACTGGTCGCCATTCTGGTTATGGACACCATGCGTAGCTGGCTCAAAATACCGTGATGTGTACAGGCCTATATTTCAGGGATTTCTCAATGGATTCGTTTGTTGTGTATCATTTATACAAAATATGAAAACCATGTTGTTTAGTTAAACATTCTACATTTGGTATTAGATCGATACGTCAGAACTGCGTCCAAAATATATCTCATTTACATTTGCCATTGCCTTGAAGTCGGGCTATTACTGCACTAGAACGACGTTTGCTATTGATCCCTGACCCGAACAGTATGTTAGTATTCTATATTAGAATATTGATTGCAAATTGCTGGCTGTTTGTAAGCTTTATATGTTCAAAAACTGCTTATATCTTGATTGTTGTATTTATCTTCTCTGTAGGAGCTTCAACTATGCAATTGGTAATAGGACTATGGTGTATGATAAAGTATGACTGTTCTAGTGTGCACATGCGCTCTGACCAATTCTCCGTTAGTGGCGAAATCATATTAGACCTATTCTCCTTGTATGAAACGGATGCTTGGATTGGTGAAAATGACTATGGAATCATGCAGCTTACTTTAACATTTGACAGCGCAATTTTTCGAACCGGGGTCGGAATTCGGATGAGCTCAACACACCGACTGTCCACAAGCGCTCAGCAACCGTGGCACCCCGTGGCCTACAAAGAAGGATCGAATGAACAGAGTCAACAGGGAGCATAGATCTACAATGAAGAGAAAGTTTAATTGGGTTATTTTCTCTAACGAGCCCTGTTTCATGATTTAGTTCTAGTTTCTACCCCTGACTTGTCATCCAAGTACGCAGTCACACACACATAATGAACTAGAAGGTCGTATAACAGAGGATTGCATTCGAGAACAGCTGATTGGTTAACTCATTGGCAAGTCCTAGAATTGCATTCTCTCTCCACCTCTACTTTAGCTTGAACATTATATGAAAAAACGTTAAACTAGGTGAACAAAATGAGTTGCCTACTAGGTAAGGCAAGTTTACATACGCCTGTATTCACGATCGCCTCATTAAAATCGATTGTACAAATCGCAATTCGCCCTCGATTTGACAAAAAGGATCACGAAGGACAGTAAGAAAACATTTTTCATCACAGTAAAGAAAGTGATCGGGTCGACTGTGTAGCAGACGCACTAGACGGTAGAGCTGACAAGCTTGTTAACTACGCTTTAACTTCAAGCGAATCCAACCAATCGCATTCCACTTGGAAGCCCCACAAATGATTGGTTCTTCGGTCCTCAAACGTCACCGATTGGACCGAGTCCGTAAACAAACAAAAGTACATTTTTAGTGGGTTACCGATTGGGAATGAAATAGCCCAGCGATAGTTGACCTCGATCGATCGTATAGACAACTGGGTCATGAGAAGTTGGATCGAGAATGCGATGGCCACAAACAAGTGTGAATGTGGTGATGAACCGCTGCATGGGTTAGTTCAACCTACACCCTCGATGGCAAATTGATTGGAATGCCATTGAGGCTAGGTTTCCCCAGAACTTCATTACTTTTGGGAACCGAATGAATTTGCCCAATTTTCAGCGTTAAAAGTCACAAAAGCTGAATAGCGAATGTAGAATATGAAGTAGAAGATACCAGTGATTAAGACTATCCACTTAATTGCGGATTACAATAAATGAGATTTCTTTTAACTAACCCCGGACTAACTACTGTATTATAACTACATGGCTAACGCTCTGGCCCCTAGTGGCCTACAATTAACGTTAGTACAACTGATCTGGTCATCTCATCATATTCGGTGCTCGTTTGATAGGAAGCCGATGAAGTGACTATTGCAGTTAGCATTTCTTCTCGAATCACTCGCCACACAGACCAAAGATGATTCCTCCTTCGTCCACAATGAAAATAAATCCAACTACTGATTATTTTGCCTCAACTGGAATAGACCCTGGTGTTTGATAGTTTACACCAGTCGCACTCCAATGAGAGGAAAAACGTCGAACCACGCAACCCGGTCTGCTGGTTTTATGTGATCGTTCGGTTTTATCACTGTAAGTACTGACTGCCTTGATTAACTTTCAATCACCACGTGCCCTGGGAATTATTTCCTACCTAGGGGTGGTTTTTGTGTGTAACGATCCACATACGTAAAGTGGAAAATCAGCTTACTGCAATTGTAAATGTGCTCTAAATTCTACAAAATGTCACGAGTACCCGGCATATTGACTTCAACGTTCAGCGACTGAAACAAAGATCCATCAATTGTATTACAATTCAAGCATTTTGATAGCTGTCTCATCCTTAGCAGAAAGCTATTACAATGCTTGATTTGGGGTATGCACGAACATGGTTAGATGCATGCTGATAACGATCATTCGTGATAGGAAGCTTGGCATCATCTGAAATGCTTTCCAAACATGCAATTCTGCAATCCTGTTGGTTCATTCGTCCTTCAGGATCAGCCACCATGATCTTGGCATGTTGATTTCAGAGTAGAAGAGAGTAGCCGATAAATACTAGGGTAACCGTGAATGCCTCAAATTAATATCCCATGACTCACCCAATGTAGAGTTATCATTGTTTGTGGGACCATGGATTACTGTAGTATAACTCTCATCAACACCAGCCTCATTCACCAAACGACGAGGATAGCAATTAAGCAATCAGCCTGTGAAAAGATACGACGGATTGATCAATGATGAACTAAGGATAAGAATCTGTGCGACGAGGCTGAATAGCGAAGGGAGAAGCTTTAGATGGCAGAGTGTTGCCATTGGTATTGTGGATAGAATGTAATAGTCATTCCGAAAGTTGCAGAGAAAAAACATAATTTCTGTTAATCAGTGAATCACTTCAAGTTTTATCTTGCTATTCAGATGAAATACCGCTAATTCTTTCACTGGAGCTTTGTATCATTGCTAAGTATATCGTCAAACGTGCCTTTCAAAGCCAGAGATACGTATTCAATCGTATTTGATCCAAATGACTGGGTGTTTGTTATTTGAGAGAATCTTGGCCTCAATGAAAATGACTCACCAGGATATTGGGTACCTAAACTGAACCCATCCATGCAATGGAGCATGCCTACATTCCCACGAAAGGACGTTGACCGGGCGGTGATGGCCCGGTGGTAAAGTCACCAATTTATCACCCCGGAAGATGTGTGCTCGAACCCTACCATCACCGCCTGACTCCCCATTGTGTATTGTATGGCAGCCCTCTGATTTGCAGCTTCCTCTTTCCTGAGCTTTGTGTCATTGTGCAAAAATGAAAAAGAAATATCCGCCTTGACGTGAGTCGCTTCCTTACCCAGCCGGCCGGGTTCATTTGCCGTTCGTTTATTCTCGTCCACAGCTCACTAAACATATCGTCAAGGACATAGCGTTCACGAGTGATGGGGGGATGATAAGTCAAACCCCACCACACTGAAACCTTCAATCTAGCTCGGCAACTCACTCAAAATGTACTTTTGTTTATTTACGGAGAAATTAATTCATTCGAACTGGACAGGGTTTAGACAGCCCCCTTTCAATAGGTGGCACTTGACGGTCGAAGCACCAATCAACTTGTGGGGTTTCCAATGGAATACCGCTTGTTGGATCCATTCGAAGTTATAACGGTTTCACTTGAAGTTGAAAACGTTATAGTTGGCTGGCCGCACCTCTTTGGTATGGCAACTTTTAGAAAGCTTTAATACTTGGGGTAATTGTCAGTTTTTCTGTTTTCTATGCTGCTTTAGAGTGTCTCCCAATGGACACAACTTGATACCCATTTGTTTATAGTACCTTTTTTAAGGGATCACTTTTATCCGTTAAAGAGTATTGTGTGCATGTTTCACGCGCTGTAGCAAATAGTGTGCAACCGAGGCCAAATTTATATCACTTGGGGATAAGGCTCGTGAAATGCATGTTCTTTCGGAAAACGGATCTTTTAACCGATCCATCCGGTCGATGAGTAGTGTTTGTATTTTAAAATTCAATGCTATCTTCCCGTCCATCATGACGAACTAGCTTGATTTTTATGTGAATTTTGTTCTGTCGATCAAGCAGTTTTTCACCGTCTTCCCTATTTTGGCTTACAACAAAGGTGTCGTCAACATAGCAACAGTATAGATTTTGTTTTGAAATATCCTCATCAGGCTTTTCTTCAACAAGTATTTCCCATGGGAGTTGATTTGCCAAATTGTTTGCTTGGACTGCATCTCAACTGAAATGTAACCCTCCACTGACAAAACTCTAATCCTTCAGTGCATAATCGACTTGAAATCCAATCACTAGGTCAGATGAGATATTAACATGTGAATAGAAAGTTACTGAAGAACTTTTAACCATGAAAGGTAGAATTGTACACACGACAAACAGTTGCACTCACCAGGATCGGCTAAATATGTTTGTATCATCTACGTATTCGCCCCACATAGCAGCTTCTCCTCCAAGAACACGAGAAATCTCCTCGGGTGTACCTGTAAAGTCAATTGAACCTGGTCATTTCTGTTGCTGATATGCATTTGATTCACTTTCTCATTGAGTTATCGCGTATCATAGCACCTCGTAAGAGCGATTGGATCTCGGAAACCTGCATATGTAGAGGCAGCTATCAAAACCTAACCAGAGAAAATGAGGCCGGACACCCCAAACCCCCTAAACGATAACAGCTTGCGTTACCCACGTGCTCAAGAGTGACTAAACCTGATGACCACTGTTGCATAATTCAGTCACCTGACCGATTGTTTTCCAGGTAAAGTTAATTCATTATTATGCACACACCCAGACCCAAGCAATTTTTACCTAGACTGTTAATTATGGTTTAATGTGGAGAATCAAACCTCCGAAAGCAATTACTCGTTCACGAATTGCACCTTGCAAAAGTATTGGGATTAGCTGAATCCAATACATGATCAAAAGCAATCATGCACAACTTCGCCGGCTTCACGAACAATAATGATGTTTTTTCATTATGATTGCTCCATAGATCAGCAATACCATAGTGACCTTTTGAATGTATGCGTGCTGGTATGAATAGATAGATGTATGCCGTCTGTTTGTATGTGTTTACAATGAGCTCGAAGAGGCTAGGATCCATGGATCACTTTTAATTGTATTTGACAGCTTTTAAGTGACTGTTTTCCTCCAAGTTCGATGAAATCCGGCGACCTAATTATTAAAGGAGTAGCATTATGTTTGAATATCTTGTGCGGCTGTGTGTGCAGTAAGAATAGCATTCACAGATTTACCTGGTTGATAACCATCATCGAACAATGGCGTGACCCCTGCCACTCCATTGGATTGATCAATTTGCAATTTTGCCCGCACAAACGTATTTTCGGACGCATCTCTTGAATCGTGTAACAAATGTCAACCGTGAGATTATGGTTGTTGTTAAACTAACAATAGAATACTGTTAAACGCACGATTCTTTAATTTCGATTGTATGACGTGCTCCCTACGTTTAACCCTCAATCCCTGCTTGACTCATTTCGCGCTACCAGTCAAGACCCTATGGTAATATAATGCACAAAATGCGATTCCACCCACCCCGTTTTATGACAACATCTCGGGAACCGCCATTAACAATTTAGAATCAGACATCCCTCCCTCGAGAAGTAACAAGTTGCCACAAAAAAGAAAGGAATGTATCTGCAAATTCCCTCGCATCAGTGTGGGATCAATCCAACCAGAATGGGCCAGTTTGAACTCATTTCGATGGAGAAAAGGTGATCGTTGCTTACCTTTAGGAACAGTTGAATTATTCCCCAGAAAGATTTCCTCCAGTATAATCATATAGATATCCATTTAAACTTCTTTAATGTAAGGCAGGTTCCCTTATTTCGAGTACAATCTGTGGCGTGAATCGCGCTTTCACTTCAGGACCCATTTCTCCTCGGTTAGTGCACCGAACGTAGATTAGGTCACCTTTCATTCGCCGATACACCTGTAGAAACAGTCTCGGTGCTCCTAGCTGCTCGTTTCAGCTGAACCCTCATAATCCTGTGACAAGACAAGTGGCTGATCACTACATGACGTCTAGCTTCGTCAATTCTGCGTGGACATTCATGGGAGATCTGTGACAAACTGAAGGCATCGTGAGTCACCCTGTCAGACAAGCAACGGATTCAACCTAAATGACCTAAGTTGAGATGTATTCTCTACCGTTGTGAGCACAGTATAGCGACGACTTTACCGATACACCCAGATCCAATTTACATTCCAATAGTCCGACCCCGACATAATTATGCATCGTATGTCATCGGACTACCAGAATTCATATGGATGCAGTTCTAGAATTTTTCTTTCTATTTACAGACTTGGTAATTGCGAAAACAACTGTTCAGGAACAAGGGAAGCGGTCCGACAAAGGATTGTTTGTGATTCAAAGGTAAGACGAAAGTTGGACGGCTGTGATGGAATTCAAGCACACAACCACCAAGGTGATCAACAAACGACCCTGAACGTGTGACCACCAGAGATGCCTGTGTCACAGACATTGGGGTGAGGGAGTCTGAGCCCTCTTGCAGCTGCTGAGGGTTGTCTTCCGCAATGACCGCTATGCAAATTTCAGATTGTCCTCGTAGACCAACACTAAGTGTTTACAATAACAAAATCAAATATCTTTTTGTTATTTTAGCGCCCTGGAATCAATTTCCATCCCAACACGAGGTATGCTATCTTCCTAGTTAGATTTGTGATAAAATACCTGCGTCGTTACTTAGAAAAATTAGATGGTTAGTTGGTCATTTAATTAATTAGCCAGTTAATTAATTAGTTAGTTAATTAGCTGGCTTGTTGGTCAGTTAGTTTTTGTCTGTTTTTCGTGTGATTCCACTGATTTTAGAATAAGATCAGATTCCAGTTCAACTCTATAATGCGTTATTGTATTCCTTGCAATTAATTTTTTATTTACTGCAAGGACTGGGGACGCAGTTACAGTACTCTGAGGGAAAATTAAGGTGTTCAACTGATATGTTTTAGACCAAAACACATTTTTCCGGATTCGTAAGGAATATGATTATTTTGTTATTGCTTCTCATTAGAAAAGTCAATACATACCTCCAAACTCTGTCGGGTCACAGTTGTATTGCGCAATCCAATCATTTCCATATTGAATGTAGTTCAGATACCAACAGCTCGACAGTATTGCAGTGAATCCAGAGGCGGTGACGTTTTTTATTTCTGATTGCCAGTTATCTTTCCATATGTGTATTATCGTTCGATTATCCGTCTGTGGATGTGCAGTTTGCAGTTTGCACAAACATAATATTAATAACAATAATAGTAATACTCTCCATAATGAAAACAAACACATTTCCGTAGAACAAAGACCGTTAAGTACAATAAACTTTTTCTATTATTCAACTAACTACTCAAGTTATATATAGGGTTTTGTTGTGATCTCCGATTTGTATTCCAAATCCGAGATAGGCGAAACAGAGGGTAAATTTTGTCACAAATGATAAATTTCATGCAAAAAGGAATATTATTTCGCAGTTGTGTTGAATATATGTTTTTTATTGTCATAAAGTATGCTATAAGTATTTCGAACTATTTGACTTAGTCAAACACGTGACTTATCGCTCATTTAAAGACAAACCAGATGCCAATTGTCACTAAACATTCAAAGTTCTATAATGCCTACTCATGAGTAGCCAGTCATTATCTGGAATTAAATTCCATTGTTCCTTTAAAGGCAAATCGATAACTCACTCGGAATCCATGGTCAAATACTTCTTGCCAAACCACTGTCCTTATGGGTCTTCGAGCATCATCAGTTTTCTGAGTCAGCCGTATAAGTCTATCCATGTAATAGCTCTGAAGTAAAGAGTAATTCGTTCCGAAATGCATTCTCTCCATGAATAACTTCACATCCGGATTTGAAGCCCTTAGACAGACGGAAAAGTTGAATCAATAACGTAGTGGAAACCAATTATCTGTTCTTGCATTCCATTATGTTTGGGTCAGAAAAATTCTGTTGCATGTTAGTGTAAGACAATTGTGTCTGATGATCGTATTTATTGTTGGTCTGGCGAATGACTGGGATGTACGATTTGTGTCCACTAGTTATGGTCAAAAAGATTACTGCTATATGAAGTTATATTCATCAAAAGGAAGCTAAAAGTCCCCAAAAGGTTATGGTAATAACACAATGAGGTAACCATCTCGGGATCAGATTTGAAGTAATAATAAACCTACACCAACCCAACCTTGAAACAAATGAATGACCTTGTTGGTTGTCGATTCAGACTCACTCACTACTGTTCGAAGTTTGTGCACTCATATCCGATTCAATACGTTGGACTACCTTTCACTGAGATTTACATGACATCTAGCAATAATAGTGATGGTGGTGGTTAAGTTACTAGGATATAGTGGAGTGAGGTAATTCATCATTAATTTTCACTGACAGAAGCACCATTACTTTTGTTGTTCAAACGTAGTCGCGGAAGACATGTTTAAAAAAGATCTCGGAAAAGAATTTAAGTGATATGACGAGGGCAAGAACGCGGCACAATAGATGATCAGTGCACTGCTTTAGAGACAGAGAAAGGTGGCGTTTCGGAACGACATCATTAATGATGGAATTTACAAGGAAGTCCCGGTTGGACATATTTTGTCATTGCTCAGCGTAACTGTTAAGGAAATTTTCTAGCATGACAATGGGCTTTCTTCTCGGTCACTTGTTGTACACAAGTTTTCTGGGGATTATGGTACAAGGAAGTTTTCGTGAATGGAAGGGGAGCGAACAGTATATTTTCTGTAATGTAATACAAATTACACCACATTTCTGAATGCCATTCTTCGTTCAAGATTGTTTTAATGATTGTTTTATCATTAAGGATTTCCTCACAAATGAAACTGCATCCCTTCAGGTATTGACTAATGCGTTATTGCCTTCACTCACGCATCCTTTGACAACATTTGGCCTTATCAAGTTTGTGTAACTTACCAGCAACTGAAGTCCACTTCGTCCCCACCTAGATGAACAAAATTATCCGGAAACGTCTGTTTCACTTCATTCATCAGCTGCTCCATGAATTCGTATGACGAATTTCGAGTTGGATCTATCGGCCCCAACTCGTTTGTTGGGTTTCCATGATTATCGAAACACTGTGTAAGAAGTTCCGGATGACCGAGGCCCCAACATTGTGTGTGTCCTAGAAACCGAAAAAGATTGTAAATGGAACTGATTGCTGATCAATCAATGACACCTTGTATAATGAAAGCTCTGTTGTTCTGGAAGATGATAAATGCATGCTA